CTGCCTGTGGGTTCCTACAGCCGGGAGCGTGCAAGCTGCTGTAAGCTTCTTCCAGTCATCCTGCTACACCTGTTTTGTGTGTGTGTGTGTGTGTGTGTGTGTGTGTGTGTGTGGTGTGTCCCAGATGCTAGAATTGGTGGTGGCGTGAGTGTGTGTGTGTGTGTGTGTGTACGTACATGCCCCAGACAGCTGGTTTCTGTGTCTGGGTTCTCTGTGTCTGTGTATGTATGTGAGAGTGTGTGCACACCTTGGATGCCTGGGTTCCTTGTTTTTGTGTGTGGCCTGTCCCAGTGAGTGGATGGACTACCCTACCTCAACCTGAGTGCTCCTGCACACCTGTGGAACTGGCCTGGGACTTCTCTGGGGCCCTGAACTTAAGCCAGAGACCACCAGTGGCTGGAGGTAGTGAGCAGGCCCAGGAAGGTAGGCAGAGTTAATGTCAGCCCTAGCAGCAGGTCTCAGACAGCCTGGTCCCCCTCCCCTCATCAGTCTTCCATGTGGATAATCATTAAGCTAAGAGCATGCTAAATATCAAAGTGGGCAATTATATCCTTCCCCACAAGCATACCCCAGCTTACCAAGGAGTCACATTAGACCATTTCCTCACTTATAAACATCATGCTCAGAAGGTCACAAGTAACAATGTTTAGGTAGCACAAGATGGTGTGCTGAATTCAAAGTGCTCAGAACCCACTGCACTTGCAACAGTATATGATTACTATTTTCCTGTATGTTCCGGAAGTTGTCACACTAGAAAGATTGAGACTTTATTTAACAGTGCACAAAGACTCATAACAGGCTGCAGAACTTACACTTGCACAGATATATTCCCTGCACTGTAGGGCATTAGAACAAGGGCATAAGAAGACAGACCATAACCACTCCCCTGCTGCCAGGGTTCTCAACCTGTGAGAGCCCAGCAGACCGGGAACTGTGGCCTTGCAAGTTGCCCTAAATTTAGATTAGGGGTAGAGTAAATGGAAATTAAATGATCCATCAGAGTAATCGAGTTTGAAATCTATTCCTATCAGCACCAAACGACTTTTTCACTGGGCACTACCTTGACCGAGAAGTGTGGGTCAAGCTGAACAGACTGTTTGATGCTTCAAAACAACAGCTTGAATAGTCTCCTGTGACAATGTGGTGTCCAGCAATCTGCATAACACTTAATTGAAAGCTGACATCTTTACAAATACCCAGACAGAGTAGAAAGAATCTGTACGCTGAGTGATAATACCAGACTGTGGCTCTTAACTGGCCAGAGGGAACAAGGTGGGTAGGTGGGGGGTTGGAAACAGGGGCTTTTCTGACTCTAGTCAGTGACAATCAAAGATAGACAGCTCTGGCTAAGGCTAAAGGGCCATCCTGGAAGGGGGCTGAGCAGGTTGCCACAAAGCCCCATTGGTTATCAGCAGCATGTGACCTACCATGAGTAGTGATGGGATCTGGTACAGATGTTCATTACTATGCTTTATCCTATAGCACAAGTTTGTATCCATATCCATCCAGGGTTATCTCTAACCTACTGTGCTGAAGTCTGTACCATATCCATCCAGGGTTATCTTAGAGTGGGATCCACCATTTTCAAGTGTTCTATGCCCTGACTATCAGTTCATTTACAGCTGGAAAGCCCTTTCTGCATATCTACTGCATAATAAGTATAACTTCTGTATCTGGCCATAAATGCAAATTAGTGACATGAATAACATCTAGATAAGCTTTAAAAATAATTCTGCATATAGCCAGTGCACCACTAGAGAGCACAGAATCCCTTACCAATTTTTAGTTGAGTTAACAATCTTTCTTAACACTGTAAAATTAATCTCCACTCAAAAGTTGTATCCTACAAGTTGCATCATACTAATGTGAGGACCTGTTTGTGTAGTCTAATGGGAGAATTTTAATTTACTGTGACCCTTTTATGTCTGTCCTGTGCCCAGAAAAGCATAATAATAGATGCATTTGAAACAATAGCAACAACAACAAAAAAGAAAAAGAAAAAAAAAAAGAAAATTAATAAGAATGACAAACAACACTGACACCTCTGTAATTACTGTCATTGATACCCCAGAGATAATACATTATCAAATCCCTCCAGGTTTATGTCTCAGTAGTCCTAAACTTGAACATATTCATAACTTCCTTCCCACATAAGTACAACCTCTGAAGTCAGGAAAGGAATGTTATTCTAAGACACGGGTACATTGGAAGAAGACCGAGGTTTGTGCAGAATGCTAAAGTGATGTTGTCTTCTAGGTGCTCTGTTCTTGGAAAGGATTGCCAGGGTGATGTATTTACTAACTGTTTGGGTAGTAGGGATCTTGTCTCATGTTACATTTAACACATGTTAAATGCACTTAAAAGGCTAGCATGTGAGTGTTTAAGCAGTAAAATATATATTTAAGTGTCATCATAGTGTAGCTAAATTAGGACTTTTCTGGTGAGAAGTATTTCCAGGTCTTATTACATAACACAGGTTAAGTTAATGCCTGACTGTTCTACCAAGGTATTACTATCAGGAGGCTCTAATGTAACTGTTTGCCAATCCCAGTTCCCACAGCACACAGTTGTCAACCTGTTCCAGTGTGCTGTGGCAGCGGGGACCAACAAGCTAGGGTGGGGTATTTGACCAGTCACATAAAGTTCAGTCAATTGATCAGTCAAATATCAGTCAAAAGTTGTCAAAAATTGCCAATAGTTCCAAATAATACACAGAAAAAGCACAATTTTTCCATTAAGAAATGGGTCAAAAAACAATTTAAAAATCATATTTATGTCAGAAAACGACAAAAAATATAGGTTTTTTTGTAAAATTGCTATAATCTTTGGTAAAAAAAAATATGCAGTCAATTGACCGGTCAATTGATAATATTTGATTAGTCAGTTGACCAGCTTGCCAACCCTACAGTAAACAGCTGTTTGTTGCTCCTAGCTCCCACAACACACCACAAAGCAATGTGTGTCAATGGCTCTGACTTCAATGGCTCTGGTGCTTAGGACATGTTTTAGTTAGATTGATTGCAGCAAGCATTACTATGCAACTGCTCAGAAAACTTTCTAAGGCATAGTAATGCTTACTACAGCCTAAATAAAACTTGCCTTAATGATAATATGTAACAAGGCTCTTTGGGCATTGTTAGCTGGATATGTACCAAATTAGCACAATTGAGAGCTGACTGGAACATTTTTAGGTTACACAAGTTAAAGGTGTAGCAAATGAACTGAAAAGGAGATTGCCAGATGAATCTTTTTTTTTTAATTAATTTATTTTTTTTTTCCCCCCAGCCCATAGTTCATGAGTTCAGCACATCTCCACTATAATCTTTCACATTTTCTGGACTAAGTATAATTTTCAAAACACATTCATAATTTTGAGTAGAAATCCCAGTGATGGTTAATGAAATTTGATCTCAGAGATCACTAAAGTAGTTTAGAAAATCCCATGTAGTTCATGGGCCTTTTCATACCACAACTTTTCTATTATACATGATACAGCACTAGTAAGGTATATGGATATCACTTCTATCATATATGAACACTGGCATTGATGTCAGCCTTAGTAGGATATGGCAGTGTGAGATTTAAAGAAAAAATAAAGGGAGCGGGGGGATAATTTTGTTTGTGCAATGTTAAGGATAGATCTATAAAAAGTTAGAAAGTTGAAAAGTTAAGGCTCTCCTAATAACATATGCAAATTACATGCTCACATGTTTGCACGTGCGTGTGTGTGCACACACACACATATATGTATTTTCTTATCTTGTATCTTATAAAGTTATGTAAACCTCTAAATCAATAATTCTCAACCTTTTTGTACTAGGACCCATTTGACAACGTTGATGACCTGTCTTAACCCAATGCCCTCACTCTGGACCAGCTGCCCCTAACCCCTAGTCCCCAGTGCCCCAGTGTGTTGGGCAGGGGGTGGGTATGTGTAGCAAGGGGTGGGTGGGTGGGGCAGGGGGGTGGGCCTTGCTGACTGGAACTCTACCAGCCTGCAAAGGAAAAGCCATGGTTACCCACATTTTTCTCTTTTAAGGGAGAATCCATTTTTAAAATTTGTTCACTAGGTTCACATATATTCTTGCAACCCACTTTTTGGTTGCAATCCATAGGCTGACAAATGTTGCTCTCAATGGGACGGTGTACATTCATTTAGATTTCTAACTGTGCTAATCAAGGTCACAATGTTGTATTTCCACTGCAGGCAGTGGAGCTATTATTTTGAGCTAAACAGTGATCAGTAAACATCACTATGGGTGGAAACATGAGGAATTTATGTTTCATACATTTTGCTTTATACTGCTAATACTAATACATTTTAAATTTAACTTAGCAGCTTTTTGCATTTATTTTCCTTCCTTCTTTCCTTCCTAGAATATCAGGGGAGGAGGGGGAATGAAATTGGTTGTGTTTGAGAACATTTATTAGCTCCAGCTATGCTCTGAGATGAATGCCTTCCTCTGGCAAATGAGGTTACTTGCTAGGATTCTTAGGCTGGAGACAGATTCTTACAAAGCTAGTTTAACAGGAAAGATCCATTACTGCATCTAGTATATGTTTAACTGAAATCATAGTAACCTAGTGCTAGAGCCTCAGGCAGTTTAAGTAATTTCTGTGCCATGGACTCCAAGTGATTTATGCCTGTTGAGACTCTTGGTATATATGTTTAAAATGGGAAAAAAAAAAGAAAAAAAAAAGAAAAGAAATGTAGGACTAGAGACTCTGCTGGCACAAAGTAGCATAGCAATATGAATTTCAGTGAAGTTACACCAATTTATGCCAAAGGCAAATCCATCAGAGCTAGTTTCTTTCAGCTGGAAGTACATCATTCTGAAATGCATTCAAAGCCAGAAACATTCCCTATCACTAGTGCTTCCTCTCATTCATGGTGGAAGGTTTTAGTGCAAATGTGTTGGTGGTAGTTACAAGCCATGGTGTATGTCTGTCTGTTCAGTCCAGCTTCTGTCTCTCTCCAGCAGAAGATCTGCCACAAGGACATGTCTATGGCCAACCGCACTACAGTGACCAAGTTCATTCTCCTGGGATTCCCTAGCCAGCCTGTGATCCAGGTTATCCTCTTTCTGGTGTTCTCCACAATGTACAGCATGGTTCTTTTGGGGAACATTGGGTTGATGGTGCTGATCAGATCCAATTCCCACCTCCAGACTCCTATGTACTTTTTCCTTAGTAACTTGTCTTTTGTGGATCTCTGCTATTGCTCCGTGATTGTTCCGAAGATGCTGGTCAACTTCTTATCAGAGAGGAAGACTATTTCTTATGCTGGCTGTGGGCTACAGTTTTACTTCTTCTGCACCTTTGCTGACACAGAGTCATTTATCTTAGCCACCATGGCATATGACCGATATGTGGCCATTTGTAACCCACTGCTCTATACAGTTACCATGTCACAGAAAGTGTGTGTCATGCTAGTGTTGCTGTCCTACCTAGGAGGCACCCTAAGTGCACTGGTCCACACTTGTTTTGCATTCAGGCTCTCCTTCTGTGGCCCCAACATAATAAATCACTTCTTCTGTGACCTCCCACTGCTCCTCAAGCTCTCATGCTCTGACACAACCCTCAATGAGCTCCTGCTGTACACCTATGGCAGCTCTGTGGAAATAATCTCCTCTATCATTATCATCATCTCCTACATTTTCATAATCATATCAGTCCTGAAGATGCGCTCTATGGCAGCCAGACGCAAAACATTCTCTACTTGTGCCTCCCACTTGTCATCGGTCATCATTTATGAAGGGACTTTGCTCTTTATATATTCCCGACCCAGCTCTTGGTATTCACCCAATTCAGATAAATATATATCTGTCTTCTACACCATTGTGGTTCCTGTACTAAACCCGCTAATCTACAGCCTGAGGAACAAGGATGTGAAGGATGCCCTGAGGAAAGCTATAGAGAGTAAAGCCATTGCTCAGTGAATCTTTTGATTCACAAAGTTAAGACTTACCAGTCAGGAAGAGCAGGAGGAGGAGGGGGTGGGTTAAGCCATTGTGCTATATCCTGTAGCAACAGATCTGGATGCAAAAGAGTTTAAGGAAGCTTGGGCCATGCAAACAGAATCTCATGTGATATCCATGTATTTAAAGACAAATAGGGGGTTTGTACATGATGCAAGGGTTTAATTCTCCAAAAATCGAAGGGGTGTTTTTTTTTTTAAAACACTACTTCAGTTTAGGGCAAAGTAAACCCCCGTGTCCTATATACCCATGTCAGAGCCTGATCCTGACCTGCCTCTCCAGCGACAAGGAGGGAAGAGTGAGCTGCTGGCAGGCAGAGCACTCCCTGAGCTGTGGGAGAGGGGCTGGTGCTTCCCTCTGTGACAGCGAGAGGGCCCTCAGGCGGCACCCACCTGCAGGCACCCAGCTCAGGCAATCCCAGGAGGCATCACAGTCATGAAGGGAAGCACCAGCTCGTCACGCAGCTCAGGCAGGCAGGAAGGTTCTGGCGGGGGGACAAAAAAAATAAGATCAGGTTCACCGCTTTATTCCCACCCTCTGTGGAGCCTGCCTTCCCAGGCTGTTGTTGGGCTGCCTGCAGGGGCTCCCTGCACAGCCCCTGAGGAGCATGGGGTCTGATGCTTCCTTCTGCAGTTGTAGGGTTTAGAAACTAAAACTCCTCAGAAGTGTTTTACTTTGCAGTGCCCCAAAGTCGTTTTCTGCTTCCCAACGTCATTTAACGCACATTACACCACCGAATGTGCTACAGCGTCTGAAATTAATGCACATTAAACCACTGTATGTGCAAACAGCAATGCCATTAAAGTAGTGCAAAAGGCTTTAAACCTGCTTTAAAGTTTCATCTACAAATGCCTATTGACTCTTTGATGTAGAAGGAACCCTCCGTATGTTGTGGAAAGACAATAAGGTGTATAGGATGGTCCACTGCTTAGGGTATTAGGCAGAGGAGCAGCAGACTTGGACTCTTCTTTTAGCTCTGCCACAGATTTTGTGTTTGACTTTGAACAAGACACTTAAAGCCCTCTGTACTTTGGTGCTGTTACTCCCAGTGGTTATCCAATGAAAGATGCCCATCACTTCTACCACTTTGTCATTGTCACAACCCAATGATTTTAGTGCCTCGGCACGGTGGAATTTTCCCGCCACATGAGAGTCTCTGTGCACAGCAAAAGTTTTCTGCTGCAACAGAAAACTCCGGTGCAAGAGAGTTACCGCCATTCGTATGCAAATTTGTGTCCCACTATTGGCCAGTTCTAAATTATTCCTACGTGGCGGCTAGCGATTGGCTTTCTTGCCCCATAAAAATTTGTGCAAATTTCGCCCCAATCGGAGAACTTTGAGCACGCTGCAGAGTGCCTTTGAAGATTCCTGACTTGTGGCTGAGCTGGTCGATAGCCTGATCACCTATCGATCCTTCTCCCTGTCGCTGAGCGCCATCCCTCGACGTACCCTTTCCCTGCCGGCCTGATTCGTGTACAGATTCGCTGGCCTGAGCCTTGCCAGCTGGAGCAACTCATGTAGTTGTTTAAGCGACCGGACCACCTGCGTCGTGGCTACTAGCTGCGTAAGTAAAGCTTTTTTACAACCAATACGCTTTGTCTGCCTCTCCATTCACCAGCCTGCCCAACGACCGAGTAATTTCTAAATCACCTCAAGTTGGCTCCGGCTGTCTGAGACAGTCATCTGTTCTGCAGGCATAACATGTTGTATCCATCTCTCTCTGGATTGCTAACCTTTGCCTTTTTCAAGAAATAGCAAGGTTTTTGGAGGGACAATGTATGTCAGCTAGAAAGGCTGGGATGTGATGCCTTACGCCGATTGGTCACTACTTCCAAATTGGAAAATAAATGTTCTCATCCACTTCAATTATAGGTTTCAGCTGCAACTAGCTGTAGATCAAGGATATTTTCCATGATACTTAAAATATCATCTTATTAAATGGTGGGAACTAATTTTATTCAATTTTAAAATTTTGTGATCCCCCTGTGAATATTTCTGAGACCATGTCCGCACATGCAGGCACATGTGGCTTGTGGTGCCAGAAATCTCTTTGTGGCACTACAACCCACATGTCTTTCACTTTAAACCATATACTGCACTGCTAATTTGCAGTGTAGGAGCAAAATTTACAACGAGGATTGTCCAGTTGCAAAAACAAACAAACAAACAAAAAAAACCCAGTAAAAAAAAGTAGGGCAAAGCACATGTAAGCAGCACGTGCCCAGACAAACATGAAGATGGGGAAGCTGCCATCCCAGGCCTATTTGCTTCCTTAAGCCCACACACTATGGAGCCCCTGTGCTGAGGCACACTGCGCCTTGCGACCAGGAAGAAGGCATCCCTGGTCTCCTTGCTCCCCTGTCTTCACCTGCCACTTCCTGGCTGGCTGGGGTGTAGGGTGCCTCAGCATGGGGACTGCCTGCCAGGTAGGCCCACACTTAGACACTCTGTGCCTCAGCCAGCCCCACCCCCATAGTACATGAAACTCAGCTAGGAGAAAAGAGTAGCTGGGCCTGGGCAGTTTGGCTGAAGCAGGACAATTTGTCCCTCACCAAACTGCAAGTGTAGAGGTGTGCAACACAGCACAAAGTAGCAGCACAAATTCGTGCTGCTGCAAGCTCCTGGTCATCTGGACATGGCCTGAGAAGCTTAACACAGAAATTGAATATTATGCTAATGAATAACATGTGTTGCAACACTACATTGGAATGAATGACAATTCTAATATAATAAAAGGCTTAGTCTGTCTGTCTGTCTGTCCATAAAGCTGTGCATGTCTGTCCACAAAGCTGCGCATGTGCTGCTGAGAGGGCGGGCTGCAATTGGCTGGGTGGCCCAGACTGCATGGGCCCAGGTCTGCACCTATGCCAGGGAAGTTTGGCAGCTGGGAATACACCCCAGCCATCTGAGCAGTGGGGCATCCCCATGCCTCCTTGCCTGAGGGTGAAGGGGGGATCACAGTGGCGGCACCCCTCAGAACAGCATGCAGGGAGAGGGAGGCAGCAGGCAGGGAGGGAAGGAGGGGAGCGGTGAGGCATACCAATGTGGGCCAGACAGACCTGAAAAAGTGGAGGGGGAGCAGGGGAAGTGGGGTTGAACCCAAGGTGGCAGGGGGGAGAGAGGGAGTGAGGTCAGACTCGAAGTGGTGGGGGGGAGGGCAGAGGTGGAGGGTTGGATCTGAAGTGGTGGGACAGGGCTAGGGATAGAGTGGGGCTGGATGAGGAGTGGTGGAGGGGTGTGGAGCAAGGCTGGACCCAAAGCAGTGAAAGCGGGTGCAGCAGAGTCAGATGAGGAGGGGGGAGAAGGGGGGCCCAGGGCTGGATTCAGGGCTCCAGCTCCACCCCCCCCCCCCCCCCCCCCATCATTCTTGATGAGCAATTTCCTAGTAAATTAATAAAAGTCAATGGCAAAATATAATCAACATTCATAGCTGCCTGCTCCCCCATCTCCATGTGCTGTAGGGCCCGTGAACTGGGGCATAGTGTGCTGGCTGCTCCCCTATCTCTGCACACTATGGAGTCCCTGCTCTGAGGCACCCTGTGACCCAGCCAGCCCTCCCCATCCCTCACCTGCAGCACATGGACCCTGGTTGAAGCATCATGCTGGGCATGAACATTGCATGCCTCCTGAGGCTGGGGCGTCACAGCGACTGCCCGCAGGTGGTGGTGGCAGGGGCATGGCAGCGGTAAACAAACAGCTTCCACAGACAGCTGCAGCAGTGGTGGCAGTGGGGAGGGGGTGGTGAGCACCAACTGGTGATCAGCGACCACCCACAGATGCCACCAGCAGTGTCGGCGGCAGCCAGTAGTGATCAGTCACTGCCAGCAGATGCTGCCAGCCATGTCAGCAGTGGAGGAGGGTGTGTGTGTGGCAAGTGGCAACCACCCTCAGGTGCTGCCAGCAGTGTCTGCAGTGGCCAATCTCATAGAGTGCATGTGAACCTGCGTGCACCTGCTATGCATTGCCAGTGATGCTGGGGGCTGGGAGGAGATGGGCATAGGTAATTTTCCCACAGCGGGCACATCCAGACATACATGGACGTTTGGTTCCCTGGGGACAATTAGCAGCTGCGCACCTTGTGCTGAAGCTACTTGTCCACAGGGAACGCCTGTGCTAAATGCAATTGGTGCACAGCAAATTACTCCAGGGGAGGTAGGGGAGGCTGGGGCCAGCACTGTGTGGGAAGTGGAAAGAAAGATGACTGGACTGAAAAGACTCTTGCCAAGTTGCTGTAGAGTTCTGTGTAAGAAGTTGAAAGAACAAAATTTGAGACATGTCACTGGAGAAAGAAAATATTTCAGGTTTTTTGCTGGAAAATGATGCTTGGACAATACATTTTTCAAGGACAGTTTGGTTTGACCCATGTTGGGTGCGTTCAGATGAGTACGCACATGTCTCTGGCCCCGTCTCAAACCCCTTCAAGACAGGGCAACAGGCACGTGTGGGAATGAAAAAATGTTGCAATGCGGGAAGAAAATTATACCCCTGGAAATCCCCCCAAGGCCCCTGATCCCAGCGGTGCCTGGCCCCATGTGGGCCTTACAGAGGAGTAGCCCCTGTGGGGGCCAATTGGCCCCTGTTCGGGGGCTGTAACCCCTGTGTGGCTGCAGTCCCAACAGCCAGTGCTTTAACACTGTAGATATATCAATAAAACATTGCCCAAATGATCGCTGTCTCTGTCTCACTCTCTCTCTCTTTATAGTGGTCTTTTGTTTTACTTGTGGAGGAACATGGATTTGGGGGTATTTTACAGAATGACTGGGATTCATTTTATGAAGGATTTTTCAGTTTTCCAATAGAGAACACCAGAATTCCTGCTAGGGAGGCTAGTGGCCAGACCCTGCCTGCTCAGAGCTGGCACCTTGGACCCTGCTGGCTGTGGCTGACCTCGCCAAATAGGGCCAGGAGGACATGCTTTGACAGTACAAAGCATGCCACCACACCCAGAACATCTTCTGGGTGATAGTTACCCAGGTGGCCAGGCAGGGGCACACATGGCAGTAGTGCCACACAGAGGCCACCCCTGAAGCCACAGCCCACTGGCAGCTGGCCCAGAGGGGCAGATGCCTCATCCCAGTCTGGCAGGTGTGCAGCAGGTTGCAGCCAGGCAGCAGCCCCCACTTCCAGACCACTGCAGTGGGTAGAGGCTGCAAGGAGCTCTCAGGGCTGCTTCAGCAGTCCAGCTGGCACAAGGGATCGTGTCCCCAGGTACCAATTGGCTAGGCCCCAGAAGCTCCTGAGAGCAAGTAATCCTGAGCTACTTGCCAGGGTAGCTTTTTGTACTGCTGGGGCCAGGACAGGGCAGCTTTTTATATCACTGGGGACAGCACAGGAGCTGGCCCTGGGCTCTATCTCTCCCTGGCTGCAGATCTGTGAGGATCCAGGCAGGGTTATTTTGCCCCAAGTGGAACAATTTGCTCCTCAACAAAGTGCATGTACAAGCATGTGCACTGAGCCAAAAAGCTCCAGCTCAAATTTGCACCACTTCTATTTGAGCTGCTGCAAGCCCACGGGCTTGTATGTGTGGATGCACCCAATAGGCATCAAAGGGGCTTGAGATGGGGCAAGAGGTACATCGACACTCATCTGGACAAGCCCATTGTGTGTATTTTGTGCTGGTTTAATTTCCTAAGGAACAATGTCAAGTAGCACCAGTCAAAGTTCTTACCAAAATTTATCACACCGTGAACTAGAAAATTCTTTCCACAAACTAGGCAAATTCCTGGCAGTTCCAAACTAGGTGACAGAATATTACAAACCTGTAAATTTATAATTTACTTGTAACAAGAGCCAAGCAATATATGGACATTTTTACATGTGCTCTGGGGTGGTTCTAATTAAAGCACCTTGAGTCACTCATGTATCAGAGTGTATCAGAGTCCCTGAATTTCAAACTGGTGGCAGAGGTGCTTTAACTAAATGTCATAGAACAAGCTTCAGTTAAAGCACCCCTGCCACCATTTTGAAGCTCAGAGAAACTGATACATGAGACACAGGCTTGCTGTAGCATGCTAGTTAATATGATCCAGCAGACTTGATTAATCGAGTCCGCTCTGATGCACTGCAAGATTGTAAGATTGTAAGATTTATTCAGCAAAAACTACAGATTTATTGAAACGACAATATTTGTAAATTTGTGTCACTCTTATAGAAGTGTTCCTCTTTAAAAAAAAATGAAAATAAAACTGAGAAGTCAACACAGTTTATTTAAAGTTTCTTGGATGGAAGAATTTCAGTTTCTGATAAAAATGTGCTTCCCTCAAAAATAGGTTTAAATAAAAAAAAACACAATATGCTTTAATTTAATTAAAATGTTTACCTTTGCATCAATCAAAGCCTTCCATTAGGCAGAAAATATATTTTCTCATACTTAGTGCCACCATGTTTTTTGTTTGCCCCAAGATGACTTTATATTACTGCTGCTTCATCTAGAACTAAAAGGAAACCAGAAAACCAACTATTTAGACTGTTTTATTTCTCACATCACATTATACAAGGAAATGCATAGTAGCATGTAATTGCTCGATTCATAAGGACTTTAATGGACCCAAAAGTATAATCATGTTGCAATCTGAAATCCTGCATTTGTCCTGCAGTCTTATCCTGCCCTTAATATTGTGCCCTTTGGACTTAGGAGCAACCCTCCCCTTGAAAGTTAATGGGGCTTAAGTTTCCTTTGGGTGTAGAGACATGATACAGTTATTTTTTTGTAACTTGTACTGTCTGGTGCACCAACATCAGTTACACTTGTGTCTGGAGGGAAGAGATCAGCAGCTCTCCCGAGATACTGGCCTGAAGTAGGCACTGCCATCTGATTTGCTTTGGGGTGGTGGGAGAGGCAATAACAGAGGCTTTGCATTGAGCAGACAGCTCCCCAGAGATGAAATTCATTACACCTCCACACACACAACCTCCATACCAATGTAACTTAGCCTGGTGCATAGTTATATTTGAATTTTTAAGGGGAAAATTTTGCACAGCACATGCTGACTCATTCCAATTGAGAACTACAGACTGTGCATATCTTCTACATTTACAGTTCTGTAAGGACTGAGTACAGTAATGTCAATTGACCAAATCCTGCCACCCCTTACATACCTAAATGACATGTTTACAGGCACATGAGGGCAGTTTACTGCACTTAAGGCAGTTTGCCATTCCACTTCATGTGTGTCAGCCCACAGTCATATACTAAGCCTGTTGAACAGAGCTGTCCCACACAGATCCTTCACTCAGCTGCCTCCTGCGGAAGTTAGAGCAGAGTCTGTATAATGTGTAACTTAGGGACAGGTCACTAGAGCACTTGATTGGAGATGGAGATTCAAGTAGCTCATGGGTGAGAACATTTAAAATCTGTGTCTTTGGTTCCTTGGTCATGAATTCCAACATGTAGTGAGCTGGAGTAAATAGGGAGAGGGGCCTTTTCATCTTCCATTTCAGTTCTGAAAGTCATACAAGCAGAGATATTGGATCTTGTCCTGTGGTCACACAAAATTCCAAAGTGTGAATAATGGCTTATTTGACCTATGGGTGGAATCCTTCTCTGCATCTAAAAGGCAATTTTTGAGCTGTGTAAGTACTGTTTTCGCCACCTATACACAATTTTACTTCCCTTCCAGTGTTGGAGCACAAGGATACATATGTAAACAGTGCATCTGTAGCAAGCTGCACACTGGGTGGATACATGCTTGGTAGGGGTGTGCGAAGTAGACCATATTCAATTCAGATTCGGATTTGGCTCAATTTGAGGGACAGTGATTCGATTCACTGATTCAGATCACTGTCCTGATTTGATTTGGCCAAATCTGAATCTGAAGATTTGATTCTGATTCAGAGAATCAGTGATTTGTCCATAGACACAGCTTTATATGGTTTTTGCAACATACCTTGAGGTACCGGGCATGGCTTGTGAATGCTGAGATGGTGGGGCAGATGGAGCATTCCAGAAGAATGCACCTCCCCTGACCATGTGCTCGGTGGTGGACCTGGAAGTGGACCAGAAGTACTTCTGATCCACTTCTAGGTCCACTGCAGAGAGCACAGGGCACCCTCCCCATGTCTCCCCAGCTCAGCGATTGGCCATGGGGGGACCCCAGGTCCCCCCCAGACCCAGGAGGCACCAGTTGCCAAACTGAGGGATGGGAGGGGTCCCGCGTACACCCCGGCAGCATACCCGGAAGTGGTCTTGAAGTACTTCTGATCCAGTTCTGAGTCCATTGCCGAGCATGCGGGGGACTCCCCCGTGCTCCCATGGGATGCTTCATCCACCCCACCACCTCAGCATTCATGAGCTGTGCATGGTACCTTGAGGTATGTAGAAAAAACATATAAAGCTGTGTCTATGGCCAAATCATCAAATGTCTCCAAATCAAACCAGAGGCTTCCGATTTCATTTGGAGAGCTTAATGAGTCTCCTGATTTGATTCGAATTCAGAGATTTAGCCGCTGCATCAGGACAAATCTCCTCTGAATTGAATCAGTGACTGAAGCTTCGCAGAGTCCAAAAGCTTGGCTACTTACTTGTACACCTTCTTGGTCTTAGTCTTGAAAATCTAATCCAAAAAAATAAAAGACATGACCAATGTGAGTTAGATTCCAGAAGAGAAGGAGGACTTCCGTATTTGAGCCTGAAGAATGGAGTCAGCTGCTCTCTTTCTCTTCAAGAAAGTCAGCCCCAAGTGCTGGCCTTGCTTACAGGAGGGTCAAAGCTTCCTCCAGGCACTGCTCTTCAGTCCTCTTTAAAAGGTCATCTCCTCAGTGAAAGGGCTAGTAGTTTAGTGTCAGAAGGAATGCTGGGGAGGAGACAGGGTGATGCCTGACATGTAGCATGGAAGCTAAAATCCAGTGTGGGCAAGTCAGACCAACACAGGTGCAAGCCACATTGGGTGCGGTATGGACCTTGGGGGTCTTGCTCCTGGGCAGATCTACAATTCTGAAAAGCGGATGCAGATGGTGTGGTGAGTCATCACATAGAACACAACACCGATTTTTCTCATATTAATAAAAAAATTAAAGCTTTACTAATATGTTAGGGCCCAGGGCTATATTATTCAATTTTGAAAAAAGGAAAAACAGGTGCGGCAAGTGGCAGGAGCTGGGCAGAGGAGCCTGCCCAGGGCAGGCATCAGGGACCCAAATGGAGGGCAGAAAATGTAGATGACCTCCTGGCCATTTGGGGCCAGGAGGACATGCTTCAAGAGTTGAAAGTAGGCAACCACAATGAGCATATCTTCCAGGTGGTAGCTGCCAGATGGCAAAGCAGGAACATCAGAAGACAAGGCAACAATGCTGCATGAAGACCAAGGCAGCCCACCAGCAAATTTACTTTTGTCCATGATGCAAACCAATGCTCAGGGGTGGAGTGCCCCACCATGCCCCACTACAAGGAGCTGGCTTGTATGGCTGTGCGAAGCTTCGGTCTCTGATTTGATTTGGCAGAGATTCAGCCTGATTCGGTGGCCTTATCTCCAAATCTGAATCAAATCAGGAGACCCTTTAATCTCTCTGAATTGAATTGGAGCCCTCTGAATAAATTTGGAGAGATTCAGAAAGATTCAGCGATTCAGACCTAGACACAGCTTTAAATGTTTTTGCTACATACCTCAAGGTTACAGGTGGCTTGTTAATGCTCTGATGGTGGGACAGATGGGGTATCCCACAGAAGCACAGGGGGCTCCCCAGCATGTTCAACAGCAGACCTGGAAGTGGACCGAGAGAACTTCCGGTCCACTTCTGGGTCCACTGGGGAGCACGCTGGGGGCCCTCCTGCACCCCCTTGCACCCCCCCTGGCTCAGTAAATGGTGCCTCCTGGGCCTGGGGGGGGGGCACCTGGGGTCCCTGAGCAGCCAATTGCTGAGCTGAGGGGGTGCAGGGGGGCTTCCGATCCAATTCTGGGTTCATCACCGAGCATGTGCCCACCCTCACCAGCTCCACCTGCCTCCTGCAGCCCAGGGCCTAGGATCTGAGATCTTCCAGCCAAGTTGGCTGTCCATCCACAAGACCTAGTAAGTCATACATAGGGTATGAGGAACTGGGAACTTCTCCCTTCTCCCCTGGCCTGGTCCTCCTCAGGGCCAGCTGGCATCCTTTTCTTCCAACTCTTCCAACCCCTCTCATCAGCCATGATGGGAACTACTTCTCAGCAGGGCCACGACAATCACCTCACCTTGTCAGCATCCCCTACTGAATGGAGCTGGTCCTGGCCATGAGGGAAGGGGGAATGTGCAAGTGGCACTGGGGCCATGCCCACCCTGATCAGTCTGCACCCCTGGCACCAGGGGCAGGGCACAGCTGGGAGGAGGTTGGCTGAATGATGTCACAGCTGCCCCCCCCCCCAGGAGGCCCCACAGGCTCACAATGTCTCCCCCTCTCCTAGGTCCAGGTCAACCCTTGGTGTCTGTCCCTCAGGAGGAGCACCTGCCCTCCTCTCCAGGGCATCCAGGCCCTCGGCATCATTGCCATGGCCCCCACACATGGGGTGGTCAGACCCAAGCCCGAGGCCTGGGTCGAGGCCACAGTGCAGCCAGCCCCTGAGCCCCTTCTCCCTGTTCCTCCTCCCTCTGAGTTTCCCTTGTACCTCTGGACCATCTTTGGTTCCCCTAATATGCATCTAAACCATTTGTATTGCTTTCTGGGTTAGGCTGGGTTTGTGCAAGGGTTGGGGGGGTAGGTGAATGGTGTTGGTGTGGTGGAAAGTGTTGTGTGGGGTATTGTGGCATGATGCATTGCTGGTGTTCAGGATGTTCTGGAGAGAGGGGAGGAGAATAAAATAGATCTTGCTTTCAACACAGCCACAGTGCCTATGCTATTGCAGTCCTAGCAGTGGGCAGGGATGGAGGTCCTTGAGCAGGTGGCCTCAAAGGGGTGAACCACAAGGTGGGCAGTGATGGTGTCCCACACTCTGGCTCCCACATGCCACTGCTGGAGTGGGTGGTACACTAGATCTCATGAGTCACAATCTTGGTTGCACAGTGGCCAGCTTCAACAGATTGCCATGTCCTTCAGTGAAAGTGAGCATAGATGGTCTTCTGCTACCTT